TTAAATAGAAAATAAGGGAACTTCACTAAAAAGTACTTCAAAGATTTTCAGAGCTCTAAGCCTCTCATTCATTGGCTCAAAAATAATATATCTATTAGTTAAGGACCTGGCAAGGAAAAGGGTATATCTTCTGATCTTTGCTCCAAAAATTTCCTAAAATACTCTTATTGTTTGAATATGAGTTGTCCTCACAGGCTCACATGCTGAACTCTTGGTCCCCAGGTGGTGATGCTATTTTGGAGGTGTTAGAATTTTGGAGGTGGGACCTAGCTGGAGGAAGAAGGCCACTGTGGTTGTGCTACTGAAACTTTTACCTTGCCCTGCCCCCAGCCTCTGTCTTTCTGTTTCCTGGACACAGTGAGGTGAAAAACAACCCCCTTTACCACACACTACTACCACCATGATGTTCTGTCCAAATGCATGGGGCCAAACAACTGTCAGAAACAATGAACAAAGTAAATCCTCCTTCCTTTAAGTTGCTTATGAAATGTATTCTGTCACAACAATGCAAAGTTTGACTAACACAAAAAATTGCTGCCAGAGAAGTGGGATCATTGCTGTGACTAAACATGCCTGGATGCAGTAACCAGAGTTTAATGGGTGATTCTGATGGGAGTTCCAAAGACCAGAATGCTGATAGGAATGTGGATAGTGAAGGCCACACTCAGAAGATTTCAGGTGGAAATGAGGATTCTATTGGGAATTAGACTACAGGCCATTCATGTCACATTCTGGCACAGAATTTGTCTACATTTTGTCCTTGACCTGAGACTGAGTGAGGCTGGATTTAAAAGCAATGGACTGATTAATTTGGTGGAGGAAATTTCAAGACAGCATAGCATTCAGGCTGTGGCATGGTCAATGCTGGCTGCTTCTGACCAAGTTTACAGTGAGAATTGGGAGCAGAGAGATTAAAACATACAGGGCATGTTGTTAGAGATTAGTCCCTTTAAAAAGAAATCAACTACGTTGCGCTTGATCAATAGGAAAGAAGCCTTGAGGTCATCCAAGGATTTGGCTAGATCCCACCCACGGCAGGATCCGGGGTGAAAAAGTTTTAACTCATTTGAAAGACCTCACTTTGAGAAGAGAGCTTCAGGGCACCCTGTACTCACAAGGCCACCTAGGGAAGTGTTTCACTAAGTTCAGCCCCCAAGACACTCAGAAACCAGTGCAGTTATGGTCCAAGGGAGCTTGGCTATTGCTCAAGCTGATGGCAGATCTTGGCATCATCCACACAATACTGATTTTGCAGACATGAAGAATGCCAAGAGTGATCCCACCCAGACTTCAAAATAAAGCCCCGAAGGCCAGATAATGTGTGACAGGGTTGATGTTCCTGCAGGTAGCCCCTGAGAGAACAATGTATGAAGCTGTAAGGGTGAAGCCAATGCTTCTATGGGGTCCCAGGTCAGTGGAGATGCCAGGAACATGAAACATCTACCAAGGAAAGTCACGGGCAATAAATGGAGCCAGCCTGAGAGAGAAGCCATAGGGCAGGGCTACCCAAACCTGTAAGAGCTCACATGTGTCCTAGATGCTGGACAGGTGGTTACAGGGTTTCATGTTGCCCTGCTGGGTTTAATCTTGCTTTGGCCATATCCTGTTCCTCCCTTTTGGAATGGGGATGTTTACTCTGTGCTATTGTATATTGGAAGTATAATTTTTTTAACAGATAAGAGAGTGTCTCAGAGTAGACTATGAGTATGCACTCTGCACAATGTTGCCACTACTAAGACTTCGGGAACTCTTGCAGGCAGATTAAAATGCATAATTTTGCATTGAGATGGCCATGAGGCTTTGGGGGTGAGGAACAGAATGTTACACATACTCCATACATACATAATACACAATCCACATTATAATAAATCCACATTATAAATATATATACTAATTTTTCTTAGCATAAAAAGATGCATTAAATAACACCCAAAATAATTTTTAGTTTAATACTCAAAATAATTGCTGCTATTCAGAATTTAATAAAAAGTTAGGAAAACAAAGATCATTTAAATGAGTCCAAGTTTAATTTTAAACAGCTACACCTAAAAAGAGGAATGTATGATGCTGCAGTTACAGATTCACTAATAAAGTGAAAAGCTGGCAATTATAAATGCATGCAGTTGCACTGATAAGTTAATTTAAAATTTATGTAGAAGATTCATTTAAAAGTATACAAAATAAGCAGATTCTGAAAAAAATCACATACATATAATCATATTTAACATTTTATTGACTTGCAAAGAAATGCAAAATAAGGTAGCTTTTTCATTCAACTTCTAACCCAATTCCAACAAAACACACTGAAATTAATAAACAATTATGTTTCCATTTAACAATTCCTCATTAAACTCTTCACAATCTTCACTGGAAAACAGATCCAAAGAGAGGGCAATCCTAAATAAAAGATGACAAAATTGAATCTCATTAAAATATCATGTTAACAGTCATTGAAAAAACATGCTATGACTATCAAGAATAGCTAGACACTCCATTTACTGACTATTCTAATGACTTTTACTTTCTCTAGTAGACCATCAAAGCTTCTGATGGACTCAATGCATAGCTTGTATTTTTCTTTTCTACTCCAACTCTGCTAATGTGACTTCAAGCACTGCATTTACAAGAATTGTGTCACAGAAACACCATGTCACAAGCCTTTATCTCCAGGCCATGTAGGTCATTCACAAGGAAGGCCATTGCTTAGACACTGCCATCACTTGTGCTAGAGAGATGCTAGAACTCTCAAAGTGTTCCTGGATGACCTATTTCTATTCTATTTTTGATATACCTATATACTGACCAATGTCTTTGCCCTCCTTTGAAATATCACTCCCTTGCTCCTTCCAGCTTCATTTGCCTCCCACCTTAGTCCCTCCATCATCTCTCTTTACTCCTGATTAAGCTCCTGGAATCCCTGATTGAATTGAAAACTCCTCTTCATTTTTGACATAGCTGATATTCCACACTCAGTCCTATCCTCTCTCTCCATCCTCACATTGCATCTACATATGACCTTTATACAGTATAGATATATCATGCTGGCATCAATATAACGCTCTAATTTGCTTGCTTAAAATCTCACCTAGTTCCCTGTCACCCAAAGTTCAACCTGCCAAAATTAAAACTCAATACCTTCAACATGAGTTCTTTCCTCTTATTTTTATTTACTCTTTCTCAAAACTTGGTACCCTTTCTGATCCCTATATCTAGCTATGTGCCTCCTCTATGCACCCTCTGCCACCCTGTTTTAAGTGCATTACACTTTTTATTTGTACTAGATCACAGTTCCCAGATTTTCTTTTTCACTTCCTGATTTGCCTCCATTGAAAACCTTTCCACAAACGACATCAGATTCTAAAATGCATATTTGGAAGCTCCATTGTTTTAAAATGTTCTAACATTAATTTTAAAAGTTATATGCATAGTCTCTTACTATCCTTCCATAGGATACTTATTAATTACAAAAGAAAACTGTAACTACAAATGGTCAACATCCTAACAAGTTAACCTCATCAAGGGATCCATGGAGATCACATGACTCCAGATGTAATACTCTGAGATGGAATCAGTACTACCATAATGTCCCAGCTAAAATGTGTAACATAAATCAAATAATGAGAAAGTATGGGCAAGTCCAGGGGGATAGTCTGAAAAATTATAATTTTATGTTCTTCAAAAATGTGAGCATTGTGAAAAACCAAAAAAAAAAAAAAGGCAGAATTGGTACAGATTAAAGACCAAGAGAGACAGAACAATTAAACATAATACATGATCCTGAAAAAAATGCCATTAATGACATTTATTAGGACAATGGAAAAAATAATGCAGATTATATAAAAGTTTTATATCAATGTTAAATTTTCTGAACTTGATCTTATACTATAAAAGATCCCTTACTCTAAGGACATATACAGTGAGGTTTTAGGGGAATACTTCATATATACAGCGGAAGAGAAAGAACTATACTGAGAAAGTAAATGGAGCTGGATATTAAAAACTGGTGAATCTTGTTAGAGGGCATACTGGATTTCTTTGTGTTATTCTAACAACCTTTCTGTACATTTGAAACCATTTAAACTAAGAAATGAAAAATGCTCCATGTTTCTTTATTCCCACAGAACAAAATACAAATCCGTGGCCAGCAGTAAGTGAAATGATTTAAAATATAGTCTCACTATTCTTTTATATCTATCTTTAATTACTATCTTAAATAACCTTTAATCAAACTGTGCATTCCTTAAACTTTTTGTTGAACTCCGTCAATTTTCTCATGTTCACATCTTTCCTGTTACACCTCCACTTTAAAAAGTCTAATATTTTTCAAAACCCTATCTTATCTCTTATTATTTGTAAATCTTAGCAAAGTGATATGTCTCCCAAAGAGTTGAATGGGCCCAGGTGAGTAGGGGTCACACAGCAAGTCCCAGCCCAGCCTGGACTTCTAAACAAATATACAAAGTATGGTCAGAGAGGCAGAATGAGAACCATGACAGAGCGAGTAGGACACTAATAGAGAGGGAAAAGGTGAAGAAGAAGCAGTGAGGTGGCACTAAATGTTCAGCACGTTCAAGGAGAGAGGCTGTGAAGAGAGTAGTTTCAATAGCATGATGGAGTTGGTGCCCAAATAAAATTTAAAATGTCAACAAATAAACTTTATGAGTACCAAACACTGGATTAAGGAAGAAAATAGGCTGGAACTAGCACTGAGAACACACTAAAGAGTGGAGAAGGTAGGACATAAGAGGGAAGTGAAAAAAATCTATACAATTATTACTTAATGGATTCTTACCAGAAGTAAGAAGATTCATGTTGTATTAATTTGAATCTAGAAACAACATAAAATATGTGAAAAATTTCAGTTGGCCTCTACCACTGGATTTCTCATAAATAAATACATAAAAAAGATAAAAGTTATAAAATTTTTGCAACATTAGCTTTATAAAAAATTTTCTGAAATCTATTTTAAAACCGTAATGCAAAATAATGAATAACAAGGATAACTTTTGTCTACAAAAATCTATTTCTGAGAAAACAAAACATATTATTTTAAGTTGTTACATAATTTTTACAAGATTCCTTTATGTTTACTAGAAAGGCTCTAGCTAAAGCACAAAAGAACCCACTAAATTCAAGGTTGTGCAGTGACTGGATTAGCACTCTGAACAATGTCCAGATTTTTTGCACTTTGCTCTACCTATTCAAATACCATTTTCTTTTAAGAAACCTTTGATTACTTTCTTTTTCCTAATCCCCCTTCTTGCCTCATTCTGCTACTTACTTGGGTAAAAAAAGAGAAATAGAGTATCTTGAACCCGAACCTTGGTTTATACATCATCACTGCAAACAATTTCTGCTATTATTATTGCAAATGCAACACTATATGAACAATAACAACTTTCCAGTGTCACATTGCTTATAAAATAGCCATCTGTTTTATTATCTTATTAAATTATTCTTCACAAAGTTAAATATTGCAAGTTTAATGACTCTCAAAAATTGTCATTGAATGGCTACTAAGAACCCACAGAAGCATTCGCTCTGACAGCATGCCTATTAGGAAATGTGTGTGAAAGAAAGAAAATAACTATGACTTACCAATTCATAGGATGTTATTAGTTACATTAATTTTATTCAATTTAGTATTCTGAGAGCCCAGAACTTCCAATTATTTTTGCAAGGATAGTAGGGTACATCTGGTTTTGCCCTAACCGCATTGTCACTCAGCAGGATGCAGCTCTAGAACATGGCTTAATTCATAAGTTGTTTTCCAGGAATGACAAATGACATCAAGGCCATGACTCAAAGGAAGACTCTGTTAAATGCATTAAACTGAACTATGGCATCCGTGGAAAGGAGATGACTACACGAAGTTATACAGAATGTACAATTTTATATTACAGTTAAAATGGTTTTCTTCATCAATATGGATGAGTTTTATAATTTGCATTAAAAAGTTAGCACTAAAATCCACATATATCAGACAAGTGTGTTCCGTTTGCTCAGTAAATTCCAGGCACTCACACCCACACCTGTAGTCTACCTGCACTCACTACGTGAGGATGCTTGGACCTTTCAGTTTTGATGACAGTGATAATACTGTAGCCTCAGTTCTATAGCTCCATACACTGAATGTGACAGTTAGGAAAACTACAGGTACAATGTGACCTGAGGTTAACTAAACTGTTTATAAAAGCCAGTCTTCTTTAATACATTAAAAATCATATTAACTTACTTTTATTAGATAATTTTTGACAATTCAGCCTGAGTCTGTATTTCTCGTTTTCTTCAATCATTCTAGAAATGACTTTATGTACGCTATTCCATACCGAACCCTTTAGAAGATAAGCACAGTTAAGGAGCACTGAGCAGAGAAGTAGAAGGCGTCTTGATGAATGAGTTGGGAGTGACTCAACTTCATTGCATGCTAATCACTATAACCATTATAAAGTAATATTGGCACTTAGAGGACTAAAACTTAAATGTGATTTTTTCCCATGAAAAAATTATCTGAATTATCTGGTCTCTTTTTCCAACTTCCTAGAATTTCCTCCCTGTAGTATTTAAATTATCTGTCCTGGATAAAGTTTCCTTTCAAAGGCAATGTCTATAAAGTCCTACCTAAGTGGTTCCAACACATTCAGTTTTCAAGATAATAAAAATATTGATTTTTAATGTATCTGATTCAAGGTAAAAATTGAGTATTTCTCCTAGAACATACCAAAGCAAAATTGGTAGAGAGCATGAATACACTAGAAAAGAAAAACTGAGGACTATGAAATCAAACAGATAGATGTAGATTCAAAAATCTGGCTTTGCCACTTACCAGTTATTTGACATTGCCTAAGTGTTTAAGTCTCATTGAGGAATATCTTCACACAGTGAATTACTTTAAAAAGTTAATAGTGTTTAAAAGTAAATAGTTGTTATTGTTTTTTTCTCCTTACCCAAAAGGAAATGGTTCTTGGAAGAAATATTTCTTAGAACAGTGGGAAGACTAGATGCTCACTCAAAAGTTTGGTGTAAGAGTTACTCACCTTGAATAATATTTTATTCTATACATGGACTATATATCAAACAAACTCAAAGCTCAGAAATAAGACAACATTATGTGTCATAATAAACTAATTTCTTTATAGTAAAATGATAATCAAAGATGGCTAAAGCACCAGATCTCAAGTTCTATTACATGTGAACAAGCAGTACTTGAGAACACAGCAGTAAAGACTCGTCCTTGTCAGCTCTCCTAAAAACAGAATATACAGTCCTTGTCTTTGAAAAGAGACATATGACACCAATATAAAACATTATTCTCTTCTATGAGATAAATCCATTTTTACTCACATTATTTACAGCAGTTTGCTATATTCTATGGAACATAGACTGTGCTTTGAAAAATCATCCAGCAGGTTACATTTGTGGTTAAAATGTATTTTATACCCTCACATACAAGAAAGACTATTCTCTATGGTTAGTAAATATTCCCAAGCCCAGTTCCATTTCTGTCAAATTATTCCATTTTCTCATTTCAGAAAATTAAATTATTCAAAAGATGGAAGTATTTTCATTGTCTTGAATCTTTTCACACATTTGTATTTACAGAGGATAATCTAAAATTCAAATATTGTTCATCCTCCTTTATAGTAATATACCTTCTTCCTTGTCTTCGTTGTTTTGGAAGCTTTGTGCAACGGTATGGGAAAATCAAACATTTTAGCTTCATCCTTTTGGATTATACCTAATTTTTAAAAAGAATGACAAGGTAATGTATCAAAGTCAGAACACATTTTAATGAATTTCCTGAGAACAGACATCATAGAAATGTCTCTTAAGCTGTCTTTGGGGATTTTTTTACTTGCTGGTGTATTTCTCACTGAATAATACCACCTTAGCTAATGATACGCTAACACAACCAAGAAAACTAGAAATAAAAAAAGTATCTGGGAAAGCATCCATCTATTTCAATCTCCTTCCTTTTCTGATTTGTAAGGTGAGTCCCAAAAGGGCTAGTAATAGAACAGACAGATACCAGAAACCACAACTTATAACTCTACAGTCTTCCTTCTTTTCACTTCAGCTCCAGATATACATTGTGCTTCCAACCACACAAAACACTTGTGACTGCTGGGACGTGTCTTATTCTTACCCTTCCCAGCCTTTGTATACCTTCTCTGTCACTCTCCACATGCACACACCCTCCGGGAAAATTCCTACCTTTCTACATTCAACTCATGATGCCTCGTCTCTACAACCTTCCCTCAAAGACACACATGGCACTGGCTCCCAGCACTCCTTTTCATAACAATTAGCACACTTTGGTGTCATGTGATTATAACATGCTCCCTTTACTAGGCTGTGATCTTCTGGGGGGCAATGGCCATGTGTGTCTTGTTCATCTTTTTATCTAGGCACATAATAGTACAGATGGCTCTTTGACTTGTGGTGGGGTAATGTCCCAATAAACACATCGTAAGTTGAAAATATACCGAATGAAAAATGCATTTAATACATCTACCCTACTGAATATCATAGCCTGGCGTAGCTGCAGAATACCTGCATGAGGCACAGTTGGCAAAAACCATCTAACACAAACCCTTTTTTATAACAAAGCATTGAATGTCTCATGTACACACAAAGGTGGATGTTTTGTAGACATTATGGGATGCAAAAACACAAAATACACTCTTCAGTACACACTGGCACTATGGCACACTGTGGAGTGCTTGTTTATCATGTGATCACATGGAGAACATGTGATTACACACACACACACACACACACACACACACACACATGCTGCCCACCATCACAAGAGAGTATCCTACCACCTGTTGTTAGCATTGTCAAGCTGAAAAACCAGGTAAGGGACGTTTTCCAGAATGAATAAGCTTCCTAACTCACTAAACTATGCTTAACTGTTAGAAGAAAATCTAAAGGCTGTGTGTCCAAAGGCAAAACCATAAAACAGTGATCATGTGTTCCCTAAAGTCCTCTGTATTAGATCTCCTTTTGTCTATGACACTCTCCCTGCATTAACTCTCCCATCCCCCAAATATTTTCTGATTGTAAGTCTTACCTAACCAATACAGATATTTCTTTATGCTGATAGCAGACTTCAAGGCTATGTGTAATTTCTTAGAGATCTAAAAGACATCAAGAAGTGTAGAGGACCCAGCACTGACAAATGGATTAAGAAAATGTGGTATCTATACACAATGGAATTTTATGCAGCCATGAAGAAGAACGAAATGTTATCATTCGCTGGTAAATGGATGGAATTGGAGAACATCATTCTGAGTGAGGTTAGCCTGGCCCAAAAGACCAAAAATCGTATGTTCTCCCTCATATGTGGACATTAGATCAAGGGCAAACACAAGGGGATTGGACTATGAGCACAAGATAAAAGCGAGAGCACACAAGGAAGGGGTGAGGATAGGTAAGACACCTAAAAAACTAGCTAGCATTTGTTGCAGAGAAACTAAAGCAGATACCTTAAAGCAACTGAGGCCAATAGGAAAAGGGGAACAGGTACTAGAGAAAAGGTTAGATCAAAAAGAATTAACCTAGAAGGTAACACCCATGCACAGGAAATCAATGTGAGTCAATGCCCTGTATAGCTATCCTTATCTCAACCAGCAAAAAACCTTGTTCCTTCCTATTATTGCTTATACTCTCTCTACAACAAAATTAGAAATAAGGGCGAAATAGTTTCTGCTGGGTATTGAGGGTGAGGGGAGAGGGAGGGGGCGGAGTGGGTGGTAAGGGAGGGGGTGGGGGCAGGGGGGAGAAATGAACCAAGCCTTGTATGCACATATGAATAATAAAAGAAAAATGAAAAAAAAAGAAGTGTAGAGGATGTGCAAATGAAAAATGAGAAGAAATTATTTCTTCCACTTGTATTTTGTATTGTAGTGAATAATATGGATTTTGTCCTGACTTATGTTTCAGACTTCTCTAGTCCTCCTTCCATATACTGTGACCAAAACTGTACTTCTGGTCCTTCCCCAATCACTGCCCATCACTGATCCATACTCAATCAGTTGCTCATACATTTTCCCACCTGCAATTTGCTCTACTAATCCCCATGTGGAAATCTCATGGAATTTCTAATATCCCCAGCCATTTTCCAAATAGCATTCATCATCCTCTGTTATGCATAAATCATGGCTATATGTCCAAAGCTCTATGAGGACAGGAAACCAACCTTATTTATTAGCTTTATTTGAAATGTTAGAGTTGCCTCAACTGGTCCCCTGGGGTCTCTAAACACCTTAGAACTCTACATCTTACAAACAGCTTAAAAGTTTATCTTTCAGAAGTGCAACCATCTGTGATAACTTCACTCCAGCAATCAAAAATATCTAGTGATTATTAAAATGGCAAGCATTCTATAGATTCACAACTTATTTTCCATTCCTTAAATAAATATGGGATGCATTAAAAGTAGTGACTAAAATGAATTCATTTTACCAATCCTTCTAAGACTATATAGATCCAATGTTCTGTAAATTGTTCCAGAGCACAGACTAGGAAGGTAAAAATCCTAATTACTTAACTCTAGCAGCTAAACCATGTTTTAAAAAATACAAAGAAATAAAAACTACAGATCACCATCTCTCCTGAATACCAATGCAATATTACCAGAGACCAACAGTGTATTAAGAAAACAAATGCAACATAAGCAAGTAGGACTTTTCTAACAATGAAAGACTGGTTCAATATCTAGGTACTTACTTACATCATAGTACACGTTACTAAATCTAATGAAAAAATATCATTCCCCTCCTATGGATTGGAGAAAGCCTCTGATAAAATTCAAAACTCATTCATGAAAAAAACCACTACAGATAATGAAAACTGAGGGATATTTTTTAATAGTTTAGATATATGTGCCTTAGTCCTAAAGTTAGTACCTGACTTAATGAAGAAATGGTCTAGACATTTCCCCTAATGGCAGAACAAGGCAAGGATGCCCACCACCTCCAGTAGTTTGACTCGATCCTGAGTATTAGTTACGATAAATCTACCGCAAGGGTAAGAATGGGTAAACCCTAGCTCCTCGGGAGGCCAACCCAGGAAAAAGAAAAAAAAAAAAAGCTACACCCTATCTCGAAAATACCCCACACGAGAAGAGGCTGGTGGATTGGTTCAGTGGTGGAGCACCTGCCTAGCAAGTGTGAGACCCTGAGTTCAAATCCCAGGACTGCCAGAAAGAAAAGAATGGGTGAGAGAGCAATAAAATTTCTCTATTTACAAACAGAACATAACTGGAAGATATAAAGCATGCAAATCGGTAGCAAAAGAACTCAGAGTTTAGCGCAGACCTAAATGAAGGCAGGCAGTCACTAGAGGACCGTTTGCGCGAGGGGCGGAGGCAGGGGACTGGAGACAGGGAGAGCAGTGCTGGCCCCGGGAGCGGGGCTGCCGGGACGGTGCCTTTCGGGGTAGCGAGAGCCTCTTCCTCCCGCGGGCGAACTCCGCCTCCACAGAGGGAGCGGGCCAGCCCCGGACAGGGGCCGGCGTGCAGCTGTCAAACCTCCAAACGTCCCTCGCTCGTCAAACAGAGGTGACCAGGCCACACTTACAACGTAAGTGTAATGGGAAAAGAGCTTCAAAACGTCCCCGAAAGACCCAGAGCAGAGTGAGCAAAGCTGTCCTGAGCCTGGACGGGATGATGACATCTTCAGACGTCAACTCTGCTCTGGAGGCAGTCGCCAGTTCCTAAGTGTCCATGACACCACCCAGGCCAGCGAGGGCCTGGCCTCATCTGGACCTCATGCTTCCCGAGGCCAACTGGGGGCTGCTGACCAAAGGGCTGGCGGGCTGACTAACTGGCCGACTGGCTTACTGACTGGCGCGGACCGGGCCGGCTCAAGATGGCGGCTGGCGGCTGACGGACTGACAGGGGCACGCCCCGCCCCGCCCCGCCCCGCCCCGCCCGCCGCCCGCCGCGCCCCCTGGCGGCCCGCCACGCCACCTGCACGTCTCACGGGCTTGGTGCGGGCCTCCGGTCCGGACGCGGACGGGGAGGACGCGGGGTCCAGGGGGACGCGCAGCCCGCCGCCACGCACGCTCGCCGCCGCCAGCGGCTCCCCGCGGTCCCGCCGGCCGCCCAGCTGCAGGACGCTACCGCACTGGTGTGAGCCAAAGCGCGCCACGTAGACGAAGCGCGCCTGGTCCGGCTCCTGCGGCCGCCCCCGCCCCCGCCCTTGCCGGCGGCCTGCGGACGCCATCGCAGCGCACCCTGCACCGCACCGCAGCCCGGGACAGCACCCGCCCAGCGGCCACCAGCGCGCGACCTGAGCGGGAAGTGGGGACCCGACCACCTGAAGGCGCGGGGAGGAGTGCCGGCGGGCCAGACCATTGTGTGAGGGGGAGCTGGGAGCCCCAGTTCATACCATTGTGTAGACGGGGGGGGGGTACTGGGCTCTCCAGTTCATACCACTGTGCGGACGGGAGGGGGGGAATGGGAGCCCCAGTTCATACCACTGTGCGGACGGGAGGAGGGGAATGGGAGCACCAGTTCTCCACTGTGCGGATGGGGTGAGGGGGAGAGAAAATGTGCTTGGGAACAGACCACTGTGTGGGGGGGATGAGATGGGGGGCAACTCTCATGGGGACCTTGGGCTGGAGGCGAGCTGGCACCTGAACCCCTGAGAGTTTTGGTGTGGGGAAGGAGGTTCAGGGGTATCACCATACAGGTTGGGGTGGGAAGTGGAGGTGAAGAAAAAATTAGGGGTTCAGAGAGGCTAGGGAGCTGGTGAAAGATGAGTGTCTAGACAAGACCTCTCTATAGGGAGATGGGAGATGAGGGGAGCGGGAGGGAAGGGGAAACAGAGAAGTGCTTGCTTGTGAGGGTGGCAGACCACTTATCCAAAAAGTGGTTGAGTTTGGGAACCATATTGTTTGGGGTGGGGAGCAGACCATAAGGCATCAGACCCCTCTGAAAATATGAACTAACCTAAGAAGAGGATGGGGGAAAGGAACCAGGTTTTCCCCATGGTCTGTGGAGAAGCTCAGGGTGAGGACCCACACTGAACTTGACCAGTCTGGAGTGTCAGCCAGGTGAAAATGGGAGCGTGGGAGCCTTTGCTGCCAGAGGGTACCAGACAAGCCTTGGCCTGACATTTGGTGGACCACAGTCCTCTAGAGACTCCTTATAGAGAGACCATGGACCTTAGACCAGCATCCTACTCAGCCATACCTGAGGTCTGACCCGTTCTAAGTGCTGGCCCACGGGGTTATCTCAACAAGCCCCTACCCTCTGAGCCACCCGTTTCCTCAGACGGAAGGGTAAATCACAATAAGAGGTATTTCACTTACATTTCATTTTCTATTTATTGAGCACATGCCCAGTGAGGTGCATGTTGGAATTTCTTTACATTTAAACTTTACAAATAACTTTCCTGTTGAGCATGTAACATTTTATGGCAGAGGAACTGAGGTTCCAAATGTGGAGGGATGTCCCCAAAGCAATGGACAGTGACAGAAACATACTTTCCAAATAAACCTGTTACTGAATTACAAATACATGCAAAAAATGCACAAGCCATCAGATAGATGAATTTTCACACATTCAATAGACCTGTGTAATGTCCACTTGGGTTAAGAAATGGTGTGACCTGCACACCATTTATTATTTATTAGAGATGTTTATTGCAGCACTATTCACAATAGCCAAGTTATGGAAACAGCCAAGATGCCCCACCACTGATGAATGGATCAAGAAAATGTGGTATCTATACACAATGGAATTATATGCAGCCATGAAGAAGAACAAAATGTTATCATTCGCCGGTAAATGGATGGAATTGGAGAACATCATTCTAAGTGAGGTTAGCCTGGCCCAAAAGACCAAAAATTGTATGTTCTCCTTCATATGCGGACATTAGATCAAGGGCAAAATCAACAAGGGGATTGGAGTTTGATCACTTGATAAAGCGAGAGCACACAAGGGAGAGGTGAGGATAAGTAAGACACCTAAAAAACTAGATAGCATTTGTTGCCCTCAACGCAGAAAAACTAAAGCAGATACTTTAAAGCAACTGAGGCTAATAGGAGAAGGGGACCAAGAACTAGAGAAAAGGTTAGTTTTAGAAGAATTAACTTAGACGGTAACACACATGCACAGGAAATCAATGTGAGTCAACTCCCTGTATAGCTATCCTTATCTCAACTAGCAAAAACCCTTGGTCCTTCCTATTATTGCTTATACTCTCTCTTCAACAAAATTAGAGATAAGGGCAAAATAGTTTCTGCCGGGTATCGAGGGGGTAGAGGGGAGAGGGAGGGTCAGGGAGGTAAGGGGCGGGGCACGGGGGGGGGGAGAAATGACCCAAACATTGTATGCACATATGAATAAAAAAGAAAAAAAATGGTGTGAATGCAGAAACACCCCGTGTCCTGTCTTTTTCCTTTTCAAGCACCATCAATTAGTTTTTCCCATTATGTTTGGCTTCTTTCACTCAAATTGTTCCTGTGAGATAGTTATTACATGAATCTGTACGTCATTTGAATATGGCATAGTCACCCATTCCACTGGTGATGGGCATTTGGTTTGCAACTTGGGGCCATTGTTAACAGTGCATAGGAACATACACATATATCTTGGGTGGAGCATATGTTAGATTCCATACCACCTTGGTTTGGAATGGTTTAGGGTATTTGTAAAGCTACAATAGCTTTAGTAGCTGCTGATAAACAGGTATCCAAAATGGTCGTGCCAATTTCCACACAAAGTGTAAGAATCCAAATTGCCTCACTGACACTGCCAGTCATCTTCATTTTAGCCATCTTGATAGACATGTGTATTAGAATTATCCAGAGAAACAGAACCAATAGGATGTGTGTGTGTGTGACAGAGAGAGGAGGGGGAGGGTCAGAGGGAGGGGGAGAGAAAGAGAATGCAGAGTACACCATCAAGCTAGAGCCAAGGAAAGTTGATGCCACAGTTCCAATCTAAAGGCCATCTGCTGCTAGAATTCACCCCTTCCCATGAGGTCAACTTTTTTCTATCAGGCCTTTAAATGGTTGGACAAAGCCCACTATGGAGGGCAATCTGTTATACTCAGTCTACTGGTTTAAATACTCATCTCATATTTAAAAAAAAAAAAACTTGTAATGTTTTGACCAAATATCTGAGTACTGAGGCCTAGGCAAGCCAACCCATAGTATTGACCATCACAAATTATAGCTATAATTAGTATTTCCCTGCCAACTGATGAAGTTGAGCTCACTGGGCATTTGGATAACATCTTTTGTGTTTAAACATCCTGTATATCTCTTGTCTCTTGTGGCTCTCACCTTGTCCTCATTCATTAAAAAGAGTTATGAGTTATTTGTCAGTTAAATAAATTGCAATTTTTTTCTCATCCATGGCTTGCTTTTATATCCTCTATGGACATTTGATAAATGTTTTAAATTTTAATGTAGCTCAATATATCAGTCATTTCCAGTAGAATTTTATTTTGTGTGTTTGATTTAACAAATATTTACTTATTCCAAGAAATTCTCTTTTATCTCCTAAAAGCTTTATTATTCTGTCTTCACATTAAAAGCTTCAGGTCACCTGTGACTGATTTTTATGAATACTATGAGGTAGAGGGGCCAAGAAAAAATTTTCCATATAAATATCCTATTCACTCTGGCTAAGATATCCAATATAAGGTTAAATACAAATGATGATGTCAACCAGATGAGTTGCAAAAAAAGACTGTTGGGTTTTTTTCTCTATTTTCACACCACAATCAGATTTCTATAACCTCAAAAGCTATGGGTATTTCTCCCCAGCAGCAAGCAAGCAGTTTTCTAATGGACACCAGTTGAGTGTTCTCTAATCCAAATGAGTTCTGGCACTACTAGGAGATAGAATCAGATCTCACAGGTTGAGGGCTCGTAATAGGACTTAGATGCTGCTTCTGCTAAGCCCGCACCCTTCACTTGGGCTATCAGTGTCTGCTGGGTAACTAAAAGTAAACTAAACACTTTGTATCTCTGCCTTCATTTTGTATCTGCCTCCTTTGCTACCTCAGACTTTGTATTAGATAACTGCACAAGTCTGAATGTAGACATGTTAACCACTTAAGGAGTATCTGTCTAAAAAACTGGCAATGCAAGATTGATTAGCCCTAAATTTACCTCATCTCTCTCATGCTCCTTGAAGACTAAAGATACCAAGATTAGAGTAAGATACTTTCAAGATTCTAAGAATATCAAGCCCTGTGGGCAGATAACCCCATGGTGAGACTGCCCCCACTGAGAAAGATCAATAAGACTGCCCCCCTAGCAGGAGCAGTCATCTTATGTTGGGGACCAAATTGTCTCAAGTGATAATGATTTCCTGGAGAGCAGGACCTTGCAGAACCAGATCTGAAATAAGGATCCACCAGACCAAAACTACTGCACTGTACATACTTCTTGCCCCTCCAGTTTTGTCCTTTATTTAAACCTGAATCTTTTGTTTGTACTCTTGAAGACAGAATTGAGGATGCTTTGTCTCCCTGACCTTTCCCAGTATACTGAACTATACTGAACAAACTTCTTTCCTACTTCACCATTATTTTTTCTGTTTGATATTTCAAGTGAATGGCCAAATCAGGTCTGTTGGGATTCCCCAGTCAGGCCCCTCTCTGGCATAGGACTCTCCTGACAGATTTGGTGAGCCAGTCAGGAGCCACACCCACAAAATGGCTACCCCTTGCAGATAGCAGACTCCTGACAAGGCAGAAAAAAAAATGATCTCAACAGCTGCTGAGATCATTTTCATTTTAGGAACCCTACCTTTTTTTCTGTTTTGACTAGCATTTAGCCAGTATTGGCTGTTTTTTTTTTTTTACCCATCATTTAATGATGCAGAGAAATGAATTTTTGTACTGTACAGGCCCTGATAAATTCTCCTTGGCAGTGCATGAGGGGCTTTGCCCTTCCTTAACCTTGTTGTATGAGGCTCTGTACAGCAAATTTCAGTTCTTCACAAGTAATTTGGTCTTCTGCCATTTGTCCAGCAGGGAAGTTTGGATTCTCTAACTTTGTATTGCCAACTAGCAGGGATGTAAGATGCACAGAGAGACCAGCATGTTTGATATCTCTGTTGTGATTTGCGTAAGACTGGAAGTGCTTACTCCATCTTGGAGCCCCCTAGGAAGAATTCTGGCTGATTGCTCTATTTATAGCTATAAGCCTATGACTAAGAAAAAAGATGATTTATCATTGGAATCCAGCATGCCTATGGATCTGAAAGTGTACTCTGATAGTTGTTTTGTTTTATGATGTCTAATTAGCCTAGTTGTTAGTCTCTGTTTGTGATGATTGGCTTGATAAAGTCTAAAAGAATTTGAAGGATTCAGTAACAGCAC